TCGAGTTGATGAACGTGCCTGGTTTAACTAGAGAAAATGTTGCTAGTCATTTGCAGGTTTGGTTTTTTCCTACATCTCAAACTTCCATCATTCCCTGTGCATTTTCTTTTTTAATTTTCGGGTCAAGGCTGCCCCCTCTGGATTCTCATGCAAGCATATGCTGTTATTATACTTGGTGCTCTACACTCTAAAGGATGTCTAGTTGTATTTGTCTTCTTCCATCGCTACTACATTCTATGTTATTATACTCATCATATGACAGGACTACCGAAGGGGTATTTGATACCATGAGTTTCATTTGCTCTGGGAGGAATAGTGCAGCCTAAATGATTCACTTAGATCTCTCGTGCCATGAGCAATAAGGGGATAAAATGGCATTTCCTCTTCTTATAGTCCTTTTGTTTATATTTTTCCATGTTAAGAAAGCACTATAAATGTAGTTTTCTTTTTTTTTTGAGAAAATATAATACGGTAATAGAGACTACAACCTGACTTGAGATTTGAAAGTATTGTCGATCATACCCGAGAAAAGTAATAGAACTCAGAGCATTGTTTTTTACTGTTTGCTTCATTTTTTCATGTCATACTATATTTTCAGGGAGGATGGATCATGGTTTGAGTCACCAAATATGTTAGTAATTGCCCTCAATATTTAGTGAAGTTCATAATTCCCAATATGGTTTTGGTTATTTCTCTTCTTATGTATTTGGAATTTATTTTTGAGATTTTCTGCATTATGGTTTGATTCTCAACCCCCTGCCTGCATTTTGCACTAGGATAATCTAATAACAATTGAAACTATTAATTTTTAATTGTTAAATCGGAGACCATGTCTTCTTATAGAACAGTATGGAGTTATATTTCAATAACTCCGATGTATTGTAGTCCTACATTGTGTTAATACTCTTCAGTTTAACTTGTGACATCAATTTTCAGAAGTTTAGACTCTATTTGAAGAGATTAAGTGGTGTTGCTCAACAAGGTGGGATTTCTAATACATTCTGTGGACCGTTGGACTCAAATGTAAAAGTTAACCCACTTGGAAGATTTGACATCCAAGCTTTGGCTGCCTCTAGCCAGATTCCTCCACAAACATTAGCAGCACTGCATGCTGAGCTTTTTGGTCGTCCTACAGGCAGCCTGGTTGCAACTGTGGACCAACCAGCTCTTTTACAAGCATCCATGCAGGGTCTGAAATGTATTCCTGCTGAACATGCTGTGGCATTTGGTCAACCATTAGTAAAATGTCAATCCAACATTTCCAAGCATTTTCCGCGAAATGTGATGTCTGTTGAGGATATTGCTTCAGGATTTGGAGCCTGGTCCTCTAATAGTGTTGGAACAGTAGGATCCAGTAGCAATCTCGGAGGGATGAACAGTCAGAATAGCAACATGTTGATGGACATACTGCAGCAGCAACCACCGCAGCAGTCATCATTATCAGAGCCCAGCCGTTCAATTAATGTGCAGCCATCTTGCCTTGTGGTCCCTTCCCAGCCACCAGCCACTTTTCAAGTAGGAAATAGTCCTGCTTCAGTCGATCAGAATTGCAGCTATAACAGGAGCGCCATGATTGATTACAATCTTCTGTCAGCTCAATCAAATAATTCCTCATTGAATGTTGGACAAATATTGAATGCGGATCTCAAAACCACAGGTGTGAGTGGGTATTCAGGCTCAGTTTCCATATCTCCTCTATCACCATGCTCTGTAGATCCTGACAATACATCTCAGCAAGGTCAAAGCTCAACCATGGCAATTCGAGCTGTAAGACAATTACCAGGACTTGGTCCTAATATCTCCAACTTCCAGGGTTCTTATAGTGCGAAGTCAAGTGAAGTGCTTGATCAAAGACCTCTTAGGAATCTTGGATTTGTTGCTAAATGTACTAGCATCCCAAGCCGGTTGGCTGTGGATGAATTTGAATCAACGATGAGCAGCTTAGACCATGAAAAATCCTATATGGAGATCAGTGGTAATAAAGTGAAGCAGGAACCAAACATTGAATTTACGGATAATGCCAGAGTGGGCATCCCAATATCACAACAAGTGCCCCCAGCACCAAGTGACCTTACGAGTGTTTTTACAGAATAGGTAACTTGGCTACTTGGTGTCGCTGATTACAGTCTTACTTGGACTGGGGATTTTACTTCGTTGATATAGTCTAATCTAAATGTACACCTTGGCTAGTTTCATAGTTCCTGCATGTGTTGAGGACCATGATGCGGTCTCTTCTGCTGAGCTAGCCATCTCATTTGACCAAATGTTTTGCCTGCAGAACTAAATTTTATTTTGTTTCGCAGACTTTTTTGGATGTTACTCTTCTCTTTCCATCATTTAACAGGCCTCACTAAATTATTCGAGATAGTAACAGAAAGTTGGGAACACTCATGTTTTGGATTATTACCTCTGTGATCTGGTCACTCGAATTTTTTTTTTTAGGACCATGCACCTTCTTCTTCTTAGATTTCATTTTTTGTTAGCCTAGTATATCTCATGCAGTAACAAACTTGATGCGACAGTGCTAGTTAATTTTATTTCCATGAGAGCCACTTTATCTGCGTGCAGACACTTTTCTAGCATAACTTTATTTTATTGTTTTGCCTTTTCTGTTACTGGGTCTATTTTGCTTTTACCGCTTCCTAAGAGAATGGCATCATTGGGATTTACAGAGAACTCCATGAATGATCTCTTATAGGTTGGTTATCTTGTCTAATCCCAATTCCAATTCATTGCAGGTTTGTATTTGATGTTCCCACTGGCAGGATGGATTTGTTTCACATCATCAAATGTTCAGAGAGGGATTCAAATCTTAATTTCCATGGGTAGTGCAGATTTATTTCTATCACCCGATTCAAGCTGAAGTCACTTTATTTCCACGGGTAGCGCATTGTGGAGCCGCCTCATTATCTATGGCTTGGCAAATTTCTCATTTTGTGAAATTCCATTGGCTTGCTGGGGGTGAAGCTGTAGATGCACGAAGTGATAGCATTGTCTTTAAACTAGGCTGTCTGTAGGAAAAATAAGATTGTACCAGACACCCAACAGCTTGAAATGTTGCCCATCGTCTTGCCATCATAATTATGTAGTTATGTGGTTTAATGATGATAAATATAAAATATGATCATTTTTTAATCATGCCACTGGTCCAGTTTTCGTGCGTTGTACAATGGTCAGTAATAACCTTCCACCACCTGCTGAGAAGTTTCAGAGAGATTAGTTTTAACTAATTTGATTACAAGTGGTCTCGCTTCCAAGTCTGACGACGTTACATTGTGATTTTGTCCCTATTTTATTGTTTCTCATGGTCACCTGGAATTCTCCTTCAACGCTCCTTTCTTTTTCTCTCAGTGACTTTCAAGAGGCGAGGTTATTTGTTTTTTGCTATATAACTAAATAGAATACAAACATATTTATTTTGTCTTGGATATCCTTTTATTTTTGTTCTTTTGTTTTGTTTTGGAACAGTAACCAAACACTATCATTAAACTAATCACTCCTTGTTAATTTACCAGTTTATATATTTTTTTATTATTTTATTTTATATATATATATTTTTTTATTTCTCAACTAGGAAAATTATAGCACTTGAAAATATGGGCATTTGTTTCTCTTGCCTTGAAAGTTAAGTTTAAATCTTATCCGTCCGGCAATCAAAAGATTGGATTAATTAGGCAGCCTAACCAGCTGATATGACAGGCATTTATAGGAACCATAACTTTTGCTACCTGCGTGCTCCATTACCATGGCAGCTTTTAAAGGATGTTTGTGATTAAGTTTTAATATATTTTTTAATTATTTTATTTAATATTTAAAACAATTTTTTTAAAATATAAAAATATTTATTTTAATATATTTACAAACAAAAAATAATTTTAAAAGCCACCCTCATCCATCAAAAGACTCTTTCTATTCAAACCCACAGCGACACCGTTTGACTTCAATTATTAATCCCTGTGGGGAAAAAAAACACAAACTTTAACAAGGTAGGAGCCTAGGGAGGGGGTGCTGTTAAAAGAGTATTTAATTAAGCAATGCCTAGGACGCGTTTGACGAGAAAATAATATTTTTCACCTATAAATTAACCTGTATCATCTCTGATTATATATATATTCTCACTTTCAACGATTCCTTGTTTGATTATTTTCTCAGTGATATGATATGACATATGATATCTGGTGCTCTATAAAGTTTACTTCTAAAATTATTTGCAAGATTTTTCAACTATAGATATTTACTAAATATATGTGATAAGAGTCAAACTTTAAAAGCAATATTAAATAATTTATTATCGTATTCGTAGTTTAATGTGCAACTATATTTACCATGCATAAGAGATCCAAACATATTATATTTGTATTTTGAGAGTTTTTATTTTCATTAAATAATTTAATCTAACTTGAATTTAAAATGACATGTCAAGATAATGTTTTAATTTCTTAACTGAAACAAATAAATAATGAAACTCCTTTTTTTTCTTCTATTTTTGCAAGAAAGACATGGAATTTTCTTATAACATGAGACATAAAAAATAGTCTCCCCTATCCAAAGCCAACGGTTAAATGTCATGGATATTTATACTAGAGACAACAGGACCAATGGAAAGGTTTAAACTTTAAAGTATAAGGATTAAGAAGTATTATTTATTAGTAATTACTTCAGAAAAAAAAACTAAAAAATTCAGAGACTTCCGAAATTCCCAGGTCGTTAACCCTTTGACAAAAGGGCAGCAGAGTAAATATGCAACACGTCCCATGCCACCTCTCTTGTCATTTAGGGGCTTATCTTGCTCTTTGTCAACGGAACAATTTTAGGCCTGTTTGTATTTACATTTTAAAAGTAATTTTTTAAAAAATTATTTTTTTAATTTAAAATTAATATTTTTTAAATATATTTTTAAATAAAAAATATTTTAAAAAACAATTACACCCACTGTTGTCTTTCACGTGCTCCTCGCTCTCTTCTCTACATGTGGCAAATACTAAAGCTTTGAAGTTTGAACCCATCACCCGCTGACTACATCCATACCGTTCTCTACTGGTCTCAATTTGAAGCCGAAGCAGACGCCAGACAGGCTGTCCCTCATGGACAAAACCCAACAGGAAATTGCACTGATCCAGCTGAGGAAATCAGTTCAAAAGCTTGGTTCTTCCACTGATGTGCATACCTTTCACATAACGCACCAAGTCTAATTCACGTGTATAGTCGTGGAATGTCATTGCATGCGTGGTGCTAGATAATTTATTTTGTTCTAGTTGAAGTTCAATTCTTTACCGTTCTTGATTTTCCGGGTTTGCATTTGCAGAAGTATGGGGACCCAACACTGATGAGGTTCTTGATTTCAAGATCAATGGACCCAGCAAAGGCAGCAAAGTTGTTTGTAGAGTGGCAGAGATGGAGGGCTTCATTTGTGCCAAACGGGTCTATCCCAGATTCCGAAGTTGAAGATGAACTGGGACCAAGAAAGGTCTTTTTGCATGGCTTGTCAAGGGATGGATATCCAGTATTACTCGTCGAAGCAAACAAGCACTTTACCTCCAAGGATCGGCTCCAATTTAAGAGTAATTACCCTGATTCTTATAATTGTACTGTTTTAATCACAGTTGGTTAATGATTACCAAGAAGACTTTTGAACTGTATCATTTGTTTGTTGTCCAAGAATCATGGGCCTTTAAAATAGCTCGTCTTCTTGGTGCATGTTTTTTCTCAATATTGGATGATTCCATCTGGTAGTTTACTTGCTATATGCTGTAGGTATACTGCCAAAAGGAAGTTATACTTATGTTATATGAAAGCAATTGGGATAGTTAAAGAGTGCCTTTTCTAAAACATAATGTTCTTATTTTAGTCGTAGTTATTTGAAATGCTCTAGAAAATGGGACCCTTCATTATAAAAATGAGGAGCTCGGGCGATTAACTAAAAAAGCTCCAATCTGATAAATAGAAAACACCATAGAGGAAATAAATAAAGTGTGGTGAAATTATTTAAGGGCATGGCGGACCTAATAGTATTCTAGTTGCCCTGAAAGGCAATATTTATTTTCAACAACCAAATTGTTTATTTTTTAAATGATAGAATTATGGCAGTCAAGCTCTATGAATCAGTTGACTTGTTGGGATTTTGTTTTTATAGTAAGTGGGAGCAGGTAGTCTCATTACGTGGTTTCATTGGTGAGTAGTACTGTTTCTCAAAGATATTTCTTTTAAGTTTCTGTCTCCACAGGCCTTCCATCAGTCACCTGTTCTTCTTCAAGAGATTTATTCTGATCTGAGAATCTCCTTCAGTAAGGAACCTTCATTCTCATATTTTCATGAACTGGCAGTTTGACCTGATAATGTTTCTTCTATTCTCAGAACAATCTATTCTGTGTCCACTGCTATTTTTCTTAGCCAAAGCAAACTGTGGACTGCTGTTTTTTTATTCGAGGCTACTCTGAAGCTGCTTCCTAGAACGTTTGCACAGGAATGGCTTCCGTTCCATCCCAATAAACAGATGAATGTATAAACAAATTCCCCACCTCATTACCCTATATATGTGTGTCAGGAAGCCATCTGTGCTTTTACCTATTACTCTCTTGGTGAACACACACAGCATGTACAAATGGGTCGGTCAGAGGTGCTTTGTGCTCAGAGCAATGATGTATAGTGTACTATATTAACAATAACAGGATAGGTGAACTGAAATGCATCCTTAATTATCTATGCAAAGAGCAGCCTCAGCATGCTGCATTTTCATTCTGAGCCAAGGCTTACATTTAAAGGAAACAGTAATTGGACTAAGTTCAACTTCTTTCTCATTATCTTGATAAACCGGCAAGTGAACCTTCAAGTCATTTTTGTTTTGCTCTTGGTGCAGAGTTCGTTGGTCATCTGCTAGACAAGACTATTGCAAGGTACCATTTACTTTAAATAATGAATGTGGTAAGAAATTTATGATTAGATGTTCCAGTTTGGGGTCATTTACAGGCATGGTTTAATGATACAGGAGTGTAGTTGTTTAGGGGTTGCCCTACATTATCTATTCTAATAGACAAAAGGATTGCAAGTTCCTCTTTTTCTCATATTACACGTGTCCACAAATCTACAGAAGAAGCACATTCTTAAACTAAGTGCCAATTTGTATCATGGTTTGGTACTTGATGATTTATATATTTCGAAAAAGATTATGATTGCTTACAACCATGATTTTATGCTATTTGCTTATTTCGTTTTATTCTGATTGAATGAAAATGGTATGGAAACATTGACAATAAAGTCATCATTGCTTGTGACTAATGTTCTTAAAACCACTGGCAGTAGACTTTTTCCATCTAATTGGCATATACATGGAAAGGCAGTTGGGGCAAGGGCTTGCTGAAGTAGTGCCTAGTCCATGTGTCAGGAACATGTCCATTCAGATGAAGGTCATGATATTTCTAGATGAAGAGTTCAATATCCTAATAAAATTTCAGATATGTAGCCTAGACTGGGAAAACATAGAATCCAGCATTTGCACGTTGTTCTAGGAAACCAAAGAGGTAGATTGAAATTATTTCTTAAGTGTTTTGCACGCTGATCTATTTCTTGAATCTCATTCCTGCTGGCAATGATTGCAACTCTGATCTGGGTACCTGTGAAACATAATTGCACATATCAAGTCTATTTAATGTATTTACTTATGCTATATAACATTCTCTTTTCCAAAATTGTCATGCATGTCATATTTTCATGTAGTATGCTTGTTTATTTACTCTGTCTATGGTGATATATTAATGCATAAAGAGTCAAGAAATCATTTCCATAACGCATTTTCTGATCTTGTTTCAGCTCATTCAAAGGAAGAGAAATGGGAAATGAAAAGTTGATTGCCATCCTTGATCTGCAGCATATTTCATATAAGAACATTGATGCTCGTGGAATGATCACTGGATTTCAACTTTTGCAGGTAACTACTTTATATATAATTTTGACCGCTAGAAAATATTCCATCTGGAAATGGCAATTGAAAAGTGCCTAAGAGCCAGAGTTTGCATAATGAAAAGACATAGCAAAACATTTTTAATATTATAAAGGAAATGGAGAATGAGGGAAAAGAAAATTTTGGATAATAGTTGAGAGCTTCCCATTGTATCTTTAATAAGTCTATTTACAAGTCCCTTATGGAGATGTGTTGTCCATGCAAAATGGGTATCAATTTAGTGTGAATTGATGCCAAAATATACTTATAAACATTGATAACAAAGAGACAGAAGAAAGTGTTCACCTCTTTTTCACCAGATACTGAAAGAAAAGAAAAGGGTATATTGCCTGGATAAGACAGCTGCAATTAAGCCTGATTTTTAGAACCAATTTCATGGAAACTTTTCACATTTCTGTAATAAAAAAAACCTGATTTAATAAAATCTAAATGACGAGATGAGAGAATGAAGCCATTTTGTAGAGAGCACATTTTACTAAAATCTAAATCTCCCATATTTCCTTAGTTGAAAACTCTGTTCAGTCTGCTTGTACCTTTTTTGTTTGCTTGTACCATTTTTGTGGTGGTTTGGCTGGAGGTCAGTAGCCTGATGTACTTGCTTGTTTTGTTGTATACATTTGGTTCTCATGGTCGTTTTGCTGAATATATTTTGTTTTCTAAATTGAGTGAACCTAGAGATGAATGTTGCAACTTCATCTGCAAGTAAATAATAATATTTTCTTATGGAAAAATTAAGTAGTTTTCATTAGTACTTAAAAGTGCATTTTTATCATGGTTTTATATCATTATTTTGCACTTGAAATATCAATAACTCCTTAACTAAAATATGTTTTATAATAATGTATCTAATAATATAAGATACCTATAATTTATGGTAAATATCTATTTTTAATGCAGGCCTATCACATAAATGAAAAGATTGATTGATGACTTGAAGAACTTAAATTGCAAGGATAAAGAGATGGCCAAACTTAGAAAAGAGATGTCGGTGCAATCCAAACCGGAACACTGTTCGGTAATTGGGTCATATCTAGAGCTATATATCTCAGATTTAGGTCCAATTTATATGGATGGAAAGGTAAGACATAGGCCTACAACTTTCATATGGAGCCCAAGATCTAAAAAGGCCATTATCAAGTCCAAATTGTAGCAACAACAAAGAAGCCCGAATCTGTCTTCCAGCCCGAGCACTGTTCGGTATTTTGGCCATATCTAGAGTTCTAGAAGTCCAAATGAGCTGAAGTTTTTACACAAGAAAGCTGAGACAATTGCCTACAACTTTCATGTTTACAACTGGCTCCAATTTTGACGTTATCAATGACGTTTTGGGCAGACAAGAGAAGATAAGGATTGTCACCAAGTCAAAAGTTGGTCACCCACTTATCAATTAGTCATCAAATCAATAGTTCCCATTTTTGGCCTATAAAAGGAGGCATTTGCCATGCATTTAGGCATCTTGATTTCCAGATCAAGATCATGCTCTTCCTTTCTCTCTTTGTATTTTTTATGCTTTGTTTTCATTAATATTAAGTTTATGCCTTTCATTTCCTTTCCTTTACTTAGTTAACTTTTATGTTCTTATTTTGTTTATCTATTTTGCTTTCTTTCATTATGTCTAGCTAAGTTAATTATGTCAAGGTGAAAAGGTTACACTAATGGTGTAAGAATAAGTATAATGTAAACTTAATATGGACTTTAATGTTTGATACTAACATGTTTTATATTTGCTATCTTGTTCACTCTTTAATACTTTGCTTGTTAAATGACTAATCTTGATTTATGTTATATAACACTTGGTACAACAAATGCTTGGCACTTTCATAGCCCATAATGTATGGTATAACCGACACCTGAGCTATGAAAGGAACTTGATTTGTTGTTAACATAAGTTATAATCATGAATGCTTGACGAGATTTACAAGTATTAGCACTATTATTGTTGTTTATAATTGTTGTTTATAATTTATACAATTAACCTTCCTGTGGTTCGACCCCGGTCTTGCCGGGTTATTTTTTACTTCGACACTCCTGCACTTGGGAGAAGACATCAATCTTTTAGTCGTGTCAAGTTTCCCCATGCTGTCTCCCTTTTTCCTTATCAGGGAGATTCTTCTAAAAACCAGGCTTCAACCAAATATATTAGAGTGACCTTGGTGCTGATACAAACAAAATAAGTCCAACTTGAAAAGGGCATGCTCAAAAGACCTCCATTCCATGAAGGGCAACATCTACTTCAGCTTATACTCGGTGGTGCAACTTATACTTCAAAGAAAGGCTTGCCATGACTTGTGAAGAGGGTTGGAAGGAAACAAAAAAGAAACAGTTAAATAAACCTGACATTCTTCCTACATTCATTGACATGACTCTCTGGCAACAGTAAATAAATCTATTTAATAAAAATAAAACACTCTCTTTGTGCATCACTTTGTATTCCTTCTTTCCTGGTAGGGGGATCTTCTGTCTATAATTATCCATATAAAAGAAAAGGCATAAACTGAGTATGTTAGAAAATGCGTTTGACTCCATGTTGAAAACATTTTAGGCCGTATCAGAATACAGACTGCTTCAAAAACTTTTATTCCGTAAGGCACAATCTGGTGGAGTATATATGGTTATTCACTGATCAGGACAAATTCATTACATTATATGAGTATCTAATATTTCTAGATTTTTTTTTCATGTAGTCTTTACTATCCAGAGCATTTGGTGAAGTGCTTCATTTTAAGCATGCCATGGTTCTTTGTTAGTTTTTGGAGGATGATTTCTCGCTTCCTCGAGAAGGGCACATTGGAAAAGGTATTATATATCTCAGAAATCTAGGTTAGTTAAGTCTGTAGAACTCATTGATCCTTATAATTATGAGTGGACATACATTTGTAAAAGCAACTTGGCAGTGGATCTGTATAAACCTGAATGCTCGTGCCGTTTTATTGGTTGAACTTACATGTCATAACGAATTTAAAATTTTTTCAGCACATTGGAAATGTCATCTTTCATGCTTGCCACTGTACATATTTTTTGCATTTTTTTTCACCTGCGTTGTTGTCCACGTCGTTTTTGCAAATACTGTATATATAAGTGCTGCGGTAGTTTCTGAAGACAAGCTTTCTATTATCAATGGGAGAGGAAAATAGGGATGTTTTGGCCAAACTCATGTAAATCTTTTTAGTGTTTTTAATCAAAGCTGGTACAAATGGATTCGTTTTTCAGAATCAAGATTATGTTTTTGAAGCTGGTTTCTCTCTTTTTCCTGTGAATGATCGGTGCCTCTTGGTGCATCTATAGCTTGTATTCACTTAGAACACCAGAAAGAACGCAAATAAATTAATAATTTTTTTCCAAGCTAGATCAGGATGACACATTACTTATGTTCCATATTAAATTAGCTGGGTGGCTTGCTTTGTGGTAATGAATGCAGATTGTGATAGTAACCAACGAAGAAAGAAAATGTTTTGTAAAGGAGATTGGTGAAGAAGTCTTGCCAGAAGAGCTTGGTGGTCAAGCAACACTAGTAGCTCTCCAAGATGTGACAGTGCCACCATTGGAGGGTTGATCCTCATAATAGAACATAGCTGCTAATACAGAGGCAGCTTTTACAGATGCTATATATGGATATGATACTTGAACATGAACATTGTATAAGTAGCTAATTCCAATTTAACGGATGCTAGTTAACGTTGAGCAGTCATATGCTGCAGTGCCTGTAAGTTACAATTGAAAATAAGATAAAATTTCTCCAGCAATCCGTTATGGTTGCAAACTCACTTATATTTCTTGCTTTGCAACATTACACTAACCACTAGCAATGGAGTTTTTGTTTGTTTTCATACCATGAATTCGAACTGTTTTCCAGAATTTTAACCTAGAGAAATCTTTACTAAAGTTGCCATTTAGCTTTGGAGCCTTGGCTGGCTCATGTAGAAGTGGATTTGCTTCCCAGGTTGATTTTGCAAGATTTCAATCTTAATGCACCGGTCCGAAGATGGTCTGATTAAAGTTCAAATCAAGAGGAAAAAACAGGAGGTGCTATTAAAAGTAATGTCAGTCAAATCAAATCATAAATCTTGAAATTAAAGCTCATTGTTTGATAAAGAAAAAGAAAAAGAAAATTTTAAAACAGTAAGTAATTACAAGCTAGTATATTGTCGTAGAGACTGCAGCCAAATTACTGAAAACACTTCCCAGTTTTGGTGATTTCTTGGAAAGTATTTTCCAATAAAGGAAAACATGAGGAGGTTTTGAGAAGGGAAAGTGTTTTCCCTTTATATGTGGCGTGTTAACATTATTATTTGTGTTTAAATTATTTTGAATTTTATTGTTTATCCCTTTTTGTATTGTAAAAAAATTTAGTCCCTTCTTCTTTCATTCTATACTACTTCCCACTCCTCTTTTTTTTTTTATTGTTTTAAATATTTAACTTGCAATATTAATTATAATATAAATAATAATTAGGCTAAATTTCATTCAGGTTATGTTGTGGATTTATTTATAATTAAATATTTTTTTATTCAAGCTATATAAAACATTTTTTCTTATTTTGCACGTTACATGTTAAAATTTGTAATTTTTTTTTAGAATACACCAAATATGAAAAATTTCTCCACTTCTTTGGAAATTATTCATGTTTAAATTGATATTTTCTAATTATCCACTTCTTTGAAAAATCGCAAAACATCAAAATTATTATTTTCTATAATAAAAATAAGTGTCTTGCTTGATTGAGCTAATGTTTTATGTCCATTCCTTTATTTTTTTCAAACAAATCATTTTTTTATTTAAAAAAAATTATTTAGTAAACATGTTTATTTAATTTTTTCATGAAAAAATATTTTTAGGATAAATTAAAAAGTTATTGATGGAAACTCTTTTTTTCCAAAAATAAGTAGAATAGTTTTTTCTCTCTCTGAATCTCGAGCATTAAAAAAATAAGCTGTATATTCATCTCGTCTATTATTTTTAAGATAAGACAAGAAAAACCTTGTGCTTTCTATTTTGGAAATCTTGTACTTGATAAATATGTTTTTTTAAAAACATTTATGTAGAAAAGTATTTAAAAAAAGAATTAGATATGAAAAATAAAAAATTATTTTACGAAAGTAAACATATTCATAATAGAATTTCCAAAAGGAATCAAACAAACGATCCTCAATCCAATGTAATTCGCTCCTTGCTTCCTCGATCACAGCATTGAATGCGGGAGAGAAGAAAAACGAATATATATTATATAAAAGGGAGGCAAAAACCAAAAGGACACCATACACCATACACCAACACTCATTATCGTATCGAAACTGTCCAAGGCAAGGTCTCCTCCAACCCTTCTCCTTTCGTTCTGCCAGCCGCATCTCACTTTTTCTGCTTCTCTCTCAATCTCTCCGTTCCCAGAAACATGGCAACTCTAACTCATCCCACCAGCAAGACTCACCTATTCACAAAACTCTCCCTTAAACCCAAAAAGTTCAGTTCACCTTCAAGAATCCGCATGGCCCTTCAAGAAAACGCCCCCTCTCTCGCTGTGGTTGGTGTCACTGGTGCTGTCGGTCAAGAATTTCTCTCTGTCCTCTCTGACCGTGACTTCCCTTACCGCTCCATTAAAATGCTGGCCTCCAAGCGCTCTGCTGGCAAGCAGCTTACTTTCCAAGACAGGAATTACACGATTGAAGAGCTAACTGAAGATAGCTTTGATGGGGTTGATATTGCGCTTTTTAGTGCTGGTGGGTCTATTAGCAAGCATTTTGGGCCGGTGGCAGTGGAGAAGGGATCCGTTGTGGTGGATAATAGCTCGGCTTTTAGAATGGAAGAAGGGATTCCTTTGGTGATTCCTGAGGTTAATCCAGAGGCTATGGAAGGGATTAAAGTTGGGACAGGAAAGGGTGCTTTGATTGCCAATCCAAATTGTTCAACTATTATTTGCTTGATGGCTGCTACTCCTTTGCATAAGCATGCCAAGGTAATGAATTGTAACGTTATTGTAGAGTTTGTTAAGTTTTTGTATTTGTTGCACTCCATGATCATTGCTTGGAAATTTTAGTGTTTTTTTATCGTAATTGGTCGCTTATTGATTACTCATTGACAATCAAATTATTTGATATGACTTAATGATTTATATTATGATGTGTTTAACTCTTCTTAGAATTCTGTTTATCTGAGTGTCATTTGCAAATCATTGTCTTTAGTTAAGGGTGATTCAGTTGTCTTAAAAAAAGTTTAAGCGAGATTTAATACTCTATGTTCTAAAAAAGAAAATCTTGAGAGGGTTTTGGTGCTGGATTTTTTTGTGTAAATGCCAGCTGAATCATTTGATGTGGCAGGTGATACGAATGGTTGTTAGTACATATCAAGCAGCCAGTGGTGCTGGTGCTGCCGCAATGGAAGAGCTTGAGTTGCAGACTCGTGAGGTTTCTGCTTTCCATATAATTCTGTTATCCTTGATCAATTTGTTTGTTTAATTTCATGTTTATCTGGGATAACTGGTGTTGTTGTTTATCTTCACATAAATTAATTCCTTTCTTTTCATGTTTGTAAGGTCTTGGAAGGAAAACCACCCACTTGCAACATCTTTAAGCAACAGGTTCGTCTTTGTTGCGCAATAACTTCACATTGTAATTAAAATTTCTACATGTCCTATGAAGAGTTCAAACTTAACCTCCCAGGATGTTTGATTTGCAGTATGCTTTTAACTTGTTTTCACATAATGCTCCTATTCTATCAAATGGGTACAACGAAGAGGAAATGAAATTAGTTAAAGAAACCAGAAAGATCTGGGTAAGTTTTAAAGGTTTTTCTTTTTTTTACTGCGCTTATATCTAATAAGATTATGGTTTAGTCCTTTCTAAAATGTTTCCATTTTTTTTGTCAATTTTTCAGAATGATATGAATGTTAAAGTCACTGCTACATGTATACGTGTTCCTGTCATGCGTGCACATGCTGAAAGTGTTAATCTTCAATTTGAGAAGCCCATTGACGAGGTTAATCACTTACTTGCCCAAATACAGACTTAGAACTGTGGTAGTTTTTATTTTGTTTTTTATCTAGTTACTCATTGTAAAGAAGATTTACGACTCGTATAAAACTTCTCTTGGTAAATTTTTTTTGAATGCACAGTATACAGCAAAAGATATTTTGAAAAGTGCTCCTGGGGTGGTGGTTATTGATGACCGAGCATCTAATCACTTTCCTACACCTTTGGAGGTATCAAACAAAGACGATGTTGCAGTTGGCAGGATTCGTCGTGATGTGTCGCAAGATGGATATAAAGGGTAAGACTAATTTGGGGTCTTTTATTGCTTAATTGTTGTCAATCCTTTTTGCCAAGGTCATTAATTGCTGGGTATCAAGCAGGTTGGATATATTTGTCTGTGGTGATCAAATACGCAAAGGAGCTGCACTTAATGCTATTCAAATTGCCGAGATGCTGCTATAGTCTGTTGTTTTGCTTTAGTGGTGAGGTTCATTTGATGGATTATTCAATTTGGTGAGATAAGGTGATTTAAAACAATCTATATTCTAGTCTATCGATGAGGATATTCATTCTTGCATAATTCTTGAGAAGTTTGAGTAGTATAAGCATTTAGGTTTGTTAGCTTGGCATGTGTGATGTTTTCAGTTGATAGGGTGGCTTGCACCATAATTGTTGCATTTGGAGGAGATTTTGTTCTTTTATGTAACTTATGATAGCCCATTGAAGTTAGAAATTTTGTCATATATAGAAATAGACTCATAGGGTATCAATTTCTAACATGTCATTATTTCCTATCAATCTTCATCTTCTCAAATGAAGCACGAAAGCAGGCATGTGTGCACAATACTTGTCAGCGAGTAGGCGATTTATTGAGCTGTGCATTGCATGCCAGCAAAATAGCCATGTTTTTGTCTCTTAATCAAAATATAATCTGAAGAACTGATGAAGCAGTTTCAGCAGCCGAACTCAGGATGAGGTCTTTATTCAAATACTGTTTATAGAATATGGTGTTTGGCCCATGGTTCTATGTAAATACTGTTTATAGAATATGGTGTTTGGTAAATGGTTCTATGTTGCCTTATGAAGTTATGACAATAAAGAGATCCTGATCGTGAAAACAGGATTGGGCGGATACAGTGCATGGTGTAACGATGGATTATTTTGGGAAAGACCTTGAGAAACTATGTTTAACGTTTGAACCGAACTAGTTGAGAAAGTTAAAGAATGCTTGCTGTGATGGTTGGTGTTTGTTACGTGTCTGCAACCATCAGTGATGTTTGACTTTGCACTGAAATTCATTTTGTGGGGAATTAGTAAAACATCCTTCCCTAGAATTAGATTGATATGAACTGAGGAAGGGTACATGAATGCTCTGAAAACCTTGAGAGGTCTCAAAATTTAGAGTGTTTGCATTGGATTGGCAGTTAATCCCGAGTAGGCGATTTGATGTCACCTAAAAAGGTTTTGGCAAAATGTGTAAAGGATCAATGCCATGCTATTGCAGAAATGTTGTCTGGAGTGGTTGACATTTGAGAATTTAACTGGTGATATGGGGAAGTATCAAGCAGGAAAGCTGGGAATAGCTGAAGATAATGATGAAGGCCCGTCCTCGTGTGAAAATATAACATTGATGTTGCCACAGAAGGGATGAACTTGAGAGTGGAGTGGATGATGCCCTTTCTTTTTTCCACTTCAAAATTAAAACTTTTTACCCTTTTAGTTTGTTATGATGGTAGACTCTTACTAGAAGTGATCCTCTTTTGTAATATAACGACCTCATTAAGAAAACCTTATTTTATAAATTATTCCAAACGTTGAGACAAGGATGAAATTGCAAGGCCTCGATCCTAATCCAATTGTCTGTTTGATTTGAATATTATTGTCTTTGTATTGAAGTTCTGTTAAACCACTCACCACCCATATTGTGTCCCACATTTTTATTAATTTCATCATTTATTTAGCAACAAATAATTGTGGCATTCCTCGTATTTATTTGTCTTAAAATAAGTAAAAGGAAGAAAGAGGGAAAAAATTAAAAAAATCCACCGATACAAAAACCGACATATTTTTACTATACTCTTTGCCTTGAAGTAGAGATAATGCCTGGGTTTGACATTCGAAATAATATTTAATTTATATAAAAGTACTAAATTGTTCATATTCAAACTTGATAATTATAAAAGAATAAAAATAAAAAAACAAAAACATCTCTTTACTCAAGGAAAAGACAATTCTGAAGGAACATCAAAGAGTGGATGAAGCTTGAATCGCTAGCCTGGGGCCCACGCGGGTAAAATCATAAAGCGTTTTCGAAAGGAGTGAGCGCCAAATACTTTCGATTAGCAAGCATTTACGGAGAAGGTGCTCAACAGACAAGAAAACCAAACTTATTGGATAAGTCGCATCCAAATTCCTGGCTGCCACACAAGTTCGACCATGGAGGTAATTAGGAGCGATACCGTGAGCTGCCTTCGACGCAAGGGTCATTCCAAAGATTAATTCCATCGCTCGAGACTTTTGGGTCAAGCATCGGATCATGATCCCATCGTATCCATTCTCTGCTTCCATGGCAAGGGAAGTAGAATAATATTGCTGTTGCTTTTCTGGGCTAGTTTTCGTTGATTGAAGATCGTTTGTGGGGAGCACACGCGTTACCTTGCAAAAGGAGGAGGCTCACACAGCACGAATATGGCTTTTCCATTTGACTGGCCGGCGCTTAAAAAAGTGTTGTTGTGGCACACTAGTAAAACAAAATTAATAGAAATAACACGCTTAAGAGCTCTGTTAGTGCTTGTCAAGCACTATTAAGAGTGTTTTCATATTTTTTTATCATTCAATTTGGAATTAAATTTTAAATATCCTGTCCAGCCTTTATGTTGGAGATTTGGGAGAGGGCTAGTGCTCATAGAAATGTAATTAATTATTAAATAAAAACAAATACTCATGTACTATAAAATCGTTGTACTAGAGGTTTTTTTTGTACGGTTATCCTTATTCCACACAATTAATTCTGACGATTGCTTATTATAGTTATGTTTTTGGGTTTATCGGCAAACCTAAGTTAAACGATGAATTATCTCCCAATCTCTAAATCCAACATCACTCTGTATGAGAGTTAATTAAGGATTCAACGTCAGACATTCTAGTAAAAATCTCAAAATTTAAAGGCTGGCTTGTATATTTAGGCCTGCAATAGCTTCCGTTTGCAGAAGATTTTTAAAAATATATATGTTTTTTAAAAATTAAATTAATACTTTTTAATATTTTTTTATAATTTTAATGTAATAATATAAAAAATAAAAATATATCTTCAAACAAAATATACTATTAAAAAACATCAACCATGCCATGCATCCACTTAAGGTTTTGCTTAATCCAAAAGTACATACATGCAATATAATAACAGCAGTCATAATAATGCAGTAGAAGTTTCGAGAACTTTTAGTTAACATCCAATCAATTTGCCATGTCAAAAACAAAATAGAGATTCTGTGACGCGCACCCATACCACTGGCTATTTCTGGTGTGACGCTGTGGTGCTTGCTCTTGCTGTGACAATAGATTTCCCTCGTCTACCCACAGAGGAAGATAAGCACGCCGGCACCAGGAAGCAACTTAACCGCCAAACTATAAAGAGAATTCAAGCACAGTGCTAGTTCCCTGCCTTTTCGTTTCATAGGTTTAAAGGACAAAAGTTGAAGTTAGACATCTATTTGAACCAATAGGATCCCGCAACGTGTCATTCCCATGGGTAATAGTAGGTGCTAAGAAGTTTACTGGGCCCACAGTTGTGCTTACGTAAGCTTTCGTACATCAGCATAAACATAAACGAGTTAACAACAGTGATAACTTCAAATCGATCCTCTAACTATAGAATTAGTTTCAATCAAATCCCCTAACTACCAAATTAAGCAAAGTTACCCAAAGTATCCCACCCTTGTCAGTGTTCTCCACACCATTAGTCTCAATTCAACAACCCCTCTAACAAGCCTGTTCTTATCACCTGCATTGTTAGGGTTGTACTTTGGACATTGAAAAACATCCATGATTCGGCTTAATTCAATGAAATTTGTAAAATAGTTTCAAGTAGTTCTTTATAAGGTTGCAACATTTCAAGAGATAGAGAGTGACATATATGCTATGAGCAAGATAGAAATAGATATTTTTTTGTTATTGTTGGTGTCCAAAATATAACTATCACAAGTAATGCTTTCGAAAACATGTTTTTTAATGAATTTCTTAAGCTGAAACTGGAGTAATATTCCCTGAATTGGTAGACGAGGGATGTCATTGAAAGTGGCTTCATGATGGGGGACTTATTTGAAGTTATCCCTTGATCATATTACTTAAACTGTCTCCCTATTTATTTGAGAAATTCTTTTTCTAGTATATGGTTTGTTTTTTGGTTTTAAAAATATTTTTGAAAGGTATTAATTTTTTTATATTTTAAATTAAATTTTTGATGTTTTTATATTATTTTAATGTGTTGATATGAAAAATAAATTTTAAAAAATAAAAAATATTATTTTAATATATATTTTTTTAAAAATAACCGACTTACCCGTACTCCAAACAGTATTTGCACTTTCCTTTGTCTGCACTTCTCGGGGGTAAAAAGCCTATATATAGCGCTCTAGGAGTGCTCTTGCTTTCTTTCATGGTTGAGGCCTGCCTGTCGATTTATTTTAATCTCGACAACCTCTTGGTAAGACTTGTCATTTTCTGTACATGTATATAATTAACAGAACCTTGTTCATTTCTTTAGCTCTCTCTCCCTTCTTGTTCCACGGACAAACATCACTCCTGAGTTTGTTACACAAACATTTCTATCTAATATTTAAGATTGTGCTATACTGGTGTGGTTTTGATTTCAACGTGTGACAAAGAGGTTTCATTATTAATTATTTCTTGGATTTTTTCTCCCGGGCTCTGGCTATTTTTGTACTTGTAGTAGTATACATTCCTCTTTTGACTAGTGCTCTCTAATTGTTCAGGAAGCTCGCTGTCTAAGCTGTCCCTACCTAAGGAAAACACCCGCTGACCTTCTCGCCTAATCCTGTGGGTATGTTTTGTTTTCTTTCCTTCTAATCTGCTAGTTGGATCCGTCTAATACGTTGTAACAAGCTTGCGTTGGAGAGTTTTGATAACATTTTGTTTGATACTTTATTAGCAAGTGAGTGAACAGAAGCAATACATTTGCTTCTTGAAATTCTGGATTTAACTTCTACCTTTTAGGATTGCTGTTAGTTTCAAATTACAACGCTCTTGTGTTGATTTTTATGTCTCTGAAACAATTCGCATGAAAAATCAGTTAATGGAGAGGGAAAAAGATGCATCTTTCTTTTGGTTTTGTCTACTTTTCTTATTTTTAATGACCCATCTTAAATTTGTATTGGTGTTAATACATAGTCACCCTGATCTATTTTCTTCTTCTCCAAGAATCTGGGTTGCCTAGAGAGCTCATCATCACTAGTAACTTTCCTATTAAATTACACCTGTATTTGAAAATCAAGCTGCATCTAATCAGTTGTTTTCTTTTCTTGAAAACCAATCAAATGTATTCTTAAACCCTATGAGAATCATCGGCTTTCTACGGTAATTGAAAACCAACAAACTGTATTCTTAAATACACACTCTGTATTTATTCTGTTATTATACAAACCTCTCATGTCATTCCCATACACAGTCACTGCGTTAGCATATGAAGAAGTAGTTTTTTTTAATTAACCTCAAGGCATGTTTGGAAAGTTTCCATGTATGAAAATTCCAAAAATTCCAATTCTGATTATGTTCCAATCAAAATTGAGGTACTGTACGATCATGCATTACTAATTCAGTGCTCTATGAACTGCAGTAAAAGTTGACTAGACAATGGCAAAGACAATTAGCTTGTATGGTTTTCCTACTGTTGAACCTCCAGATGACATAAAGGAATGTCTGGAAGAATACTCTGGTGAAGGTACAGTTGTAGCTGTTCATGTTGCACAACCAAAAAGTGTAGGGTCAAGAACAAATGCTATAGTTGAATTCACAACCAGTGAAGCTGCTCAAAAGATCAAGCTCAAGTCCTTGGATGATGAAGGTCTATGGTATGGTAATTCTTATCTGAAAGCGCGGGATGCGTATCACGATACTGTTTCAACGAGAAAGGCCTTTCAGACTCAGTATAGCATGGATAACATAACACTGCACTTCGGATGTCAGGTTTCAAAGGAAAAATTCTCAGTTCTTTGGACTCAAAAAGATGTTTCGGTAACATTTGGTGTTGAGCTGAGGAAATTCCACTTCTTTCTGACGTATCTTTCCAAAAATTACAAGCTCGAGCTATCATATGAGAACATTTTGCAAATTAAGCTGCATCGACCTTGTCGAAAAACTAAGAAATATCTTCTCGTCCAGGTTTGATAGTTTAAATTCCCCTCTAGATTCTTTCAAGGTAATTATCAAATGTTAAGTTGTGTGTTTTAAATGGTATATTTGTGAATCATTATGAGAGCCATGACTCGCATGCTGCACATTTTTCTAGGTAGTATTTAGCAACCCTTACACACAAATATCTATTCTAGGCATAAGATACATCCAGCTGATGTTCGTAATCTTATACCAACTTAGACAAAAAAAAAAATGATGAAAAACTCTATCAGCAATAAAATAGGTGTTTATTGTTTTATATCTCAAAGTTTGGAAAACTTGAGAGTTTTGTTCCTGATTTTGATACTGTGAATCTGATTAGAATTCTGAAATGTTTTAAATTCCATTTCATACTGGATAACTGATGAAAGTTCGTAGTACACAAAGATTTCTTGCTGAATGAATTGTGCTACATGCCAACAACTTCCTGTATCGTATAAGATTTGGTATGAATTCATGATGAGTAGATTGTAGAAAGTTCAAGCCTTCATTTTTTGAAATAACAACTCTCAAATGCTGTGGGGAAAACCTCGTGTATGTATGTTCTATTTAGTGAGTTTACAAAATGTTTATTCTGTTTATTAGTGTAATAGTTGTTTAACACCTTCTTCCTCTTTCGTTTGGTAGATGCTCGGAGGCCCCAAGATTTTTAAGAAAGAAACGCATAAGCTCAGCAATTTTAAGGAAGCTACTGATGATCAGTGGATTCGAGATGTTGATTTTTCTCCATCTTACTGCATAGGCCAATCTTCTGCTTTGTGCTTGGAGCTTCCGCGCAACAGCCAACTTCCGAATTTGCAAGAAAATTTTGTCTGTTACAAAGAAGAAGATGAAGGCCGCTTCATTCTGGAAAAAGGATCGACCTTCTGTTGCAAGTCAGATCTTGTTCCTATTTTGCGTGCAGCTCAAGTATCTGAACTTCCATATGACATTGTGTTTAAAGTCAATTCCTTGGTCCAGCATGGTTGTCTTCCTGGACCAGCACTTGATGCAAGGTTCTTTCGTTTGATCAATCCATACAAAATTCATATTGCATACATACAACATGCCCTTGAGAAGCTAAGTCATTTGAAGGAATGCTGTTATGATCCTGCACGATGGCTCCAGGAGCAATACCTGAAATACCTCACCACTGGCAGACTTCCTACACCTGCTATTGCTGTAGATGATGGGTTGGTATTTTTACGTAGGGTTCAGATAACCCCTACTAAATTGTACTTCTGTGGCCCAGACGTGAATCTCTCCAGTCGTGTTTTACGCAAATATCCTGATGATATCGATAACTTTCTTCGGGTTTCTTTTGTTGACGAGGATCTTGATAAGCTTTTATCTACAAATATATCGCCAAAGACATTTTCTGCAATTGAGGGGAGGCAAACCAGCATTTATCAAAGGATACTGTCAGTTCAAAGAAATGGCATAACTATCGGATCTAAGAAGTTTGAGTTTCTTGGTTTCTCACAGAGTCAATTACGGGAGAGTTCTCTTTGGATGTTTGCTTCTAGACCTGGGCTAACAGCAGCAGACATCAGAGAATGGATGGGTGATTTTCGTGAAATAAAGAATGTGGCCAAATATGCTGCAAGGCTTGGCCAGTCTTTCAGCTCATCGAGGGAAAGTTTCAACATTGATAGGCATGAAATAGAAATTATTCCTGATATAGAGGTTAAAAGCGGTGGAGTCAACTATGTTTTCTCTGATGGTATTGGAAAAATTTCAGCAGAATTGGCAGATAGCATAGCTCAGAAACTTGGCCTTAGAAGTTTTACTCCTTCTGCCTTTCAGATTAGGTACGGAGGCTACAAAGGTGTTGTGGCTGTTGATCCTACTTCATCGATGAAATTATCACTGAGGAGAAGTATGTCGAAGTACAAATCAACTAACACTAGCTTGGATATTTTGGATTGGAGCAAGTATCGGGCTTGTTTTCTCAATCGTGAAGTGATCACTCTTTTATCTACCCTTGGGGTTGAAGATCAAGTTTTTGAAAGGAAGCAAAAGGAGGCTATAGCTCAACTAGATTCTATTTTAACCGATCCAATAAAAGCACAGGAGGCACTTGAGTTGATGGCTGCTGGAGAGAGCGCACATGTTCTGAAGGGAATGCTTGCATGCGGTTATAAGCCGGATGCAGAGCCATTTCTAACAATGATTCTGCAAACATTCCGCGCATCGAAGTTGCTTGATTTGCGGACAAAATCAAGAATATTTGTTCCAGAAGGAAGAGTAATGACGGGATGTCTGGATGAAACGAGGACGTTGGAATATGGTCAAGCATTTGTCCAGTATTCTCGTGCTAGACGTAGGAAGTTATATGATCATTTCAAAGGTGGCAAATCAGAGACAGCCATTTTTAGGGGAAAGATAGCTGTTGCAAAAAACCCCTGTCTACACCCAGGAGACGTGCAGATCTTAGAGGCTGTGGATGTGCCGGATTTGCATCACATGGTGGATTGCATCGTTTTCCCCCAAAAAGGAAAGAGGTAAATTTCTTATTTTCTTATTGTTTTTTTAAAAACTCTTATTTGCACTAGTCATTCTGAAGCATCACAACTTGGAACTTGTTACAGATGTCCTGTTGTCTGTGTCTTTCACATTCTTTCTGGACTTTGTTGAAACGAACACTTCTCAACTTCTACGTTTATAGTTTTTTGTCAGTCAGACTTAACTACATGCTGCAAGATTTATTTTGTTGTTTCTTGGGAAACTCCTAGCTTTGGTCATGGAAACATCATTTAATTGTACTTTTGAATCTTCTGTAGTAGGCATGCTCTTGCACACGGGCTTAAATCGCTGTTATGCATTATATGTCTCTATGCATACATTGCTTTCTGATAGTAGTAAAATTTTGATCAGACCTCATACAAATGAATGCTCGGGAAGTGATCTAGATGGAGATGTGTACTTTGTATGTTGGGATACTGATCTCATTCCTCCTCAGAAATTTCCACCCATGGATTATGCTGCACCACAAACTACGATTTTGGACCACGATGTTACAATAGAGGTAACTCTTCATTCAAGTGTGTTAACATGTATCAAAGGCGTCTCATTAATTACGAATCTTCAACAAGCAAACATTTTTAATCCTTTGTTTCAGATGTTCTTCCCATCATTTCTAATTTTCGCATAAATGAGCACAGGAATCATTTCCTGAACAGTAATATCATTAATTGCTTGGGTAGTTCGTCATTGCTCTGGAAAGAACTTTATAGAAAAGTTCTGTTTATTTGAATTCCTTGTAATTAATGATATGTTATATAGCACACAGAGTCGATTTTCAGAACCCCCCCACCCCTCTCACACACATCTGATTCGTATACTTGTTGAGACATTTTCCCTTTGCGTTGACTAGTTGACTACAATGTTACAGGAAGTTCAGGAGTATTTTACAGATTACCTACTCAACGACAGCTTAGGGATCATTTGCACTGCTCACGTGGTCTTTGCAGACAGTGAGCCTGACATGGCAAAAAGTGAAAAATGTATTAAACTCGCTCAGCTATGCTCACTCGCTGTTGACTTCCCAAAAACCGGCGTGCCTGCTAAAATTCCTAAAGAACTACGCGTCAAAGCATATCCAGATTTTATGGAGAAGGATGCAGATAAACATACTATCTATGAATCCCAGCGTGTACTTGGAAAGCTTTTTCGAGCTGTAAGAGACATCGCACCGGACACAAGTCCTATGGGATCCTTCACTAGGAAAATGGCAAAGCAGTCTTATGACCCTGACATGGAAGTTGATGGATTTAAGGATTATATCAACGATGCTTTCTATTACAAAAGTGAATACGACAACAAGCTGGGGAACATGATGGACTATTACGGGATCAAAACTGAGGCTGAAATAATCAGTGGTTGCATCATGAAAATGGGAAGATCTTTTGATAAGAAAAGGGACTTGGATAGTATTCATTTTTCTGCAAGTTCCTTGAGGAAGCAAGCTAGAGCCTGGTTCAACGAGAGCGGTTCAGACGAAAGCCCTGATGATGTTTATCGAAAAGCATCAGCTTGGTACCACGTCACATATCATCCTCGTTTTTGGGGCCGCTACAACGAGGGAAAGGATGGAGTTCATTTCCTCAGTTTTCCATGGTGTGTTCATGACAAACTTTTTGAGATTAAGAAGGGCACGACATCATTGGTGCACCAGTTCAATCGAATACCGAGCTTTCATGTAGAGATCGGAGACTAGAAGACTTCCCTTCTGTCCTCTCGCAGGCGTGCTCGTTGCCTCTTTTATTACGAAGTACATATTTATTTGCCTATAAAACTCAAAGCCTGTGCGTGTTTGATATTTGTGTGACTACTTGTCTTTAGCTTACTGTTATTTGTGTGTATTGTCTACAGCATTGTTGTGAGGAGTGGTTTGTTATTGGTTTACGTTAATTTTCAGTGGTTATAATGCATGAAAGCTGTAATCAGAACTGGAGATATATTTCTAGCTTCTGTTATTGAATAAATGGTTGGTTTGCCTTTTTCTATGGAAATTTCTCGGCGTCATTGTAAATGCCATCCCATCATCTGCCAAGTGGCATTTAAAGAAAACATCGATCATCACGATGTATGCTGCACGTTGGAAGAAATTAAACTCCTTTGCTTGTCTTTTATGTAGCGTTCAATAGGCATGGATGAAGTTTTACACACACACACACACAAACCCCACCAGCATGAACTTAATTTGTAGTCTTCTTTTTCAATATTTTGTCAATGCAAGATCGACAATGAACTTTGTAGTCTTCTTTTTCAACATTTTTATGCCAATAACATCGACAATGAACTTTCATTCATTCAATATGCATGGAAGAAACCTTTTTTGTTTGTCTTTTCTCAATAAACCGACTCATGAAGAGACGTACACTTGTCAAATTTTATTTCCTAGATTTTTCTTTATTTTTTTAATCATTTTTAATTGTTGATTAGATGTTCTTAGTAGGAGTCGAAAACCATTTGTCATCTTTCAGCGAAATACTAACGGTAGGTTCGGTTGATCCTATATAGGTTTTTTTTTTTTTTTCTCCCTGTAACTCATCTAATTATTATCGCATGTTCTTTCTTCAGAATAATCATCTCTCATATGTACACACACACACACGTATATATCCTCTTTGGTGGTTAATAATTAATAGACGATTCTGGTCTAAAACTAATTTAGTCCCTTCGTCATCTGTTGAGTTTTAAATCAAATCTAACCAGATCTGAAAGCACAAGTTTTTCAAATTTTGACTGGATTTTTGTTATTTAAATATGAATTAATTAGAACGAATATCGGTGCGCGTGAAAGGTGGCTTGTTGATGCGGTGGAAAAAAAAAAAATACAAATCGACGGAAAATGAGTATATAGAAAGAAATGCGCCACATAAAAACATCCAAAATGGAATAAGCAGGTATGCTACTCTGTCCAAAAAGGAAAATGGCAAAAAGCATCAACTATGCAAACCTTGTAGTAACTGTTTTGTCTTGTCGTTTGACAAAACCTTCTAGAGAGAAACAGAACGAGAATAAATACATGCTCGATCGAGGCTTCACTTCTCAAACCACACCAAGATCGATGAGCAGCAAAGCAGAAATCGGATTGCTGGGATCGTTGCCAGTTATGAACGGTGGAAATGGAACATACAGCTATGCCAAAAACTCCACCTTACAGGTTTTACTTCAAAGAGTTGGATATATTATTTTTACTTTTTATAATTAACGGCATGTTCATGTTGAGTTTATTAGCAAAGCTCTGATACCGCTTATAATGAGCTTAGCGCAGCGCAATTTGTGTACTAAACCAAGGTTATTATACCACTAATTATTGCACAATAGTAGTATAAATATACTAGTTCACACAATCACTACAAATAATTATATCACACTCACTCTCATTCTCACACACCACACCCTAAGTTTAATAAACCCGTATATGTGTTATTTCTAGCTCTCCTCACTTGGTGTTCTCTGCACCACACTGACTCGATTGATGGATGCTAAAAAGGGGAGAGGGCCTAACAATTTCTACTAGCTGGTTAACATATAAAACAGAAGTAAAAAAAACGGTGTATTAAGTCATTTTCCGGCAAGTAGAGGTCGGTGCATTAACTCACCTCTCCTTAGTCCATAGCTACAGTTCGTAGGATGAGATTTTGCTTGTCAAGAAGTTTACAACATTGTCATGTGAGGGCAAAGCTTCCATGACAAAGTTGCTGGTGCAATTTAATGCCCGTGTTGACTTTCAACAGCTTATGCTTTCAAACATGTAAGCAATTCATTGATATTTAAGGACCTCAAATTCTGTAGTCAATTTAAAATTGGCAAGTGTTTACATATAAAACACAATTTCTTTTCATAAATATGAAGTAAAAATTAAATTCAAAACTATATATCTAGATGAACTTAAGTGCATCAAAATCTTACTTCTGCAGAGAAAATCAGCAAATGCTGTGAGGGAAAAAATTGATGAGGCAATTACAGAGAAACTTGATATGGAAACCCTATGTTCTAGCGGCAAGTCATTTCATATTGCAGATTTTGGATGTTCAACCGGACCCAATACGTTTATAGCAATGCAAAATATACTGGAATCTGTAGAAAGGAAATACAAATCCCAGTGCCCTACTAGTCAAATTCCTGAATTCCAAGCATTTTTTAATGACCAGGCATCGAATGATTTCAACACCCTCTTCACCACTCTCCCACTGAATAGGCAATACTTTGTAGCCGGTGTGCCTGGGTCTTTCCATGGTCGGTTGTTTCCTGATAGCTCTCTTCATTTTGCTTATTCCTCTACTGCACTACACTGGCTCTCAAAGGTGCCAGAAGAATTGCTAGACAAGAACTCTCCTTCGTTTAATAAGGGAAGGATTTACTATTCGAATACCCTGGATAAAGTAGTTGATGCTTATTCTTCTCAATTTGCGAAGGACATGGAAATCTTTTTGGATGCTAGAGCAAAAGAGCTTGTCGCTGGAGGAATGTTGGTGATGACGATGCCTGGCCAGCCTAATGGAATCCCTTGTTGCCAAACAGGGATGGGAATTACTATAGATTATTTGGAGTCTTGCTTCTTGGACATGGTGAACGAGGTGAGTACTCCTCCGAAATAAACGCAATACTATAGATATTTCATTCGTAGTTCACTCGCTAGAACTCATAAAAAAAGAGCTTTTTTTTTTCCCTCAAAACATGTTCGTCAAACATAAGGTTTCGGCGGTTTTGTGTGGGTTCGTTGTAAGGAAAATAATCTTGAAAACTGAATATTTTATAATAAAAAAATGAATATTTTCTATTGCATCATATTTGTGTTAAGAGGAAAAAAAAACGAACAGAATCAAATATGAAGTACAGAGTAGAGTTCATGATAATGTATATTGTTTTTTTTCCCACAAAACGAACATAATCTCAAAATCTACTATGAAGTACAGTGTAGATCTAGTTCATGATAATGTATGTTGTGTTGTTATTGTTAAGGTTGGAGCATTATTTGACTTCCATGCATGCATCTAATAAATTCAACCCCAAATGGTCGCTATCTACAGGGTATAATTAGTGAAGCTAAAGTGGACTCTTTCAACTTGCCAATGTATGCGGCAACTCTGGAAGAGATGAAAGAGTTAATACAAAGAAATGGGTCTTTTAACGTTGAGAAAATGGAGTTGACAATGGCAAACGGAGAATCAAATCCTCAAAGCTATAGCTCTTTCTCGGGGCGAATACTCCAAATGCACTTGAGAGCTGGGATAGAGGAAATAATCAGTAAACATTTTGGAACTGAGATTATTGATGACTTGTTTGATCGCTATGCTATGAAAGCTGAGGACTTTTCCCATCGTCTGCAATCAAGCGAGAGGAAAGGAGCTCTAATGTTTGTTGTTTTGAAACGCAAATGATGCGTGTTCGAGTGCTTGTCATTCATGCAGGCTTTCTCTCCTGCTAATTTAATTCTCCACGAGTGTTCATTTATTTTCTGCAACTTTGTCATATCTTATTATTGTACAATAAGAATTGCTTAATCGTTTGCAAACAATTATTATGGATTCATCCATAGTTACTAATCAATCGATCAGCCTCTCTTAATAGTCCAGCTGGGTGAAAATAATAATAATTATGCCCACTCTCTTATAGTTTGTTTAATTTGTTTTTCTTTTTTTAGAAAAAAATTGCAGTTTACATTCCAGATGAGTTTGGTTTCTAAATTTAAACAAAAAAATAAATAATTACTATCATGTATAATATATTACAAATGTAATGTTTTGTATTAAAAGAGATAGAAAAAAGCTAGAAAGCCCTTGAAGGCTTTGATGTAGGAATAAATTAAATGAGGGGTAGAGTAATTCAACAAACTTGATAAATATAAAGAGGTAGAGTAATTCAACAAACTTAATAAATATAAATAGAAAAAAGAAAAGAAAAGAGAGCTGTGTTTTTAGAGTGAAAAACTGACAGAAGAAGATAAGAAAAGGGGAAGAAGAAGAAGAGAAAAGAAAACAATTAGAAGGAAAATAGAAAAGAATTGAAAAAATAAGTTTAAAGGTAAGATTTAGGTTGTTAAATGTACAAATATATGTTAATTGAACTTTAATTTCAGTTTTGATGAATGTTAGGGTTCTGAAAATTTATATTTTGAGTTTAATTGATAAATTAAATAGAATATTGTGGGGTTGATTGTTGTGGGTAATTGATTATTTAGTTGATTATGGAAGATTGTGATGATTTTGAGTTATAAATTGTGTAAGTAGTGAAATTGAGTTAGAAATATGGAAAGAACAATAGGTTTTATGTTGAAATAATTCTGAGTTGGAGGTTGAAGATGACAAGATTTTGGTTTGATCCCTTAATTTGCAAAAATTACAGTTTAGTCCCCAAACTTTGAAAATTTTACAAAATGGTCCCTGAAGCATATTCCGAGGTTCTAAACAGAATAAAATATGAATTATGGACAGAATTCCTGTATAGCTATGAAATTTTAACACTTTCAATTTGATCCTTTGATTTGACAAAAATTACAATGACCCTAAAAATTTGAAAAAATTCCAGAATGGTCCCTAGAGCATAATGAGATGTTCTGGAAAGAATTGAGGATTTAATATGTTCAGAATTTCAGCATAGTAAAGGATTTATGATATTTTTAATTTGGTCCTTCAATTTGATAAAAATTACAATTTGACCCTAAAAAATTTAGAGAAGATTCCAGAATGGTCCCTAGAGCATAATAAGATATTATGGACAGAATTGAGGATTAAATATGGTCATAATTTTAGTATAGTCATGGATTTATGATATTTTTAGTTTGGTCCTTCAATTTGACAAAAGTTACAATTTGACCCTTAAAAATATGATAAATTCAAGATTAATCCCTAGATATAATATTAGATTTTGCAGATTGGTTTGATGAATAATTGAGGGTTATTTAGTGAATTATTACCAATTTTATTCTTTGTTTTATTATGAATTAACTTTTGGGTTTTTGAAAAAATAGACTAGTTAATTCAAAAATATATAAGATTATAGAATATATTCTTAAATATATCTCTTTTGTATTCAAATAATCTTAATATTCTACTAGCGGGACGTCAGTAAGATTTTCTTGAGTGTCTGCTTTGGACTTCTATTTGCTTTTGAGTCAAGTGAGTAAATAATTTTTTATATGCATGAAAAATATTATAAATATTTAATTTTTTAATATAAATTGGATTATGCTTCTTGATAATGTATATAATGATTATTATTCTTGTTATGATAAAGCATAATCAATTGTTAAATCTGAATTCTTGATATAAACCAATATATATTTTGAGTTGGCTTCTGAATTGATAGCTTTTTATTTGATTGATGTCATGAGTTGAGCCTTGAAATATAACTATTTCTGTTTGATTATGATTATGAACATATGATATGTCAATCAAAATACTCATGCTAACAGGGTAGTGTTAGTTTTTATACACATCATATATAAATCCTAGTTGGTTGGGGGAGCCACCAACCTATGTGGACTGATTATCACATAGTACGGAGTCTCATGCTCATTGCATTTTGATTTTCTAACGAGCTTTACCTTATGATATTCTTGTTGTAGCCTATTTGAGGAACCTTGCTATAAAAACCTAAAGTCAATTGTATATATATTTCTCATTGTTGTATTATCTCATGTGTGTGTATATTGAACATTATTTACTTATTGAGTTGTTGAACTTACACTCTCATTATTTATCATTTTCTTGATAGCATGTCACTTTTGTTGGACCTTCTGAACCTACTTTTTGGTTGAAATTTATAACTTGTTTTTATGTCTAGTTAGTGCTCCAAAACTATGAAATTATATTAACTCTTGTATTAAGATAATTCAATTATACTATGAAATTAGTTTGTTGTTAATGTTGTGTTGAACTCTGATTGAATTATTTAATAGATAAATTTGTATGTAAGTTTGAGTTCATATAAGTATGGAATTTTGAATAGGAATCTTATCTATGTGCCAGTCATGGATCTAGAAATCGGTTCGTGACAACAAACATCCACAAATGATAGTTAACCAAGATTTCTCTTAGGATTACAGAATACACCCTTATTTAAGTGTATTAAATAGGTTAAATATTCTTTCGAGTCATTCTTAAATATATCTCTTTTGTATTCAAATAATCTTAATATTCTACTAGCGGGACGTTAGTAAGATTTTCTTCAGTGTCTGCTTTTGATTTCTATTTGCTTTTGAGTCAGGTAAGTGAATAATTTTTTATATGCATGAGAAATATTATAAATATTTAATTTTTTAATATAAATTGGATTATGCTTCTTGATAATGTATATAATGATTATTATTTTTGTTATGATAAAGCATAATTAATTGTTAAATCTGAATTCTTGATATGAACCAATATATATTTTGAGTTGGCTTCTGAATTGATAGCTTCTTATTTGATTGATGTCATGAATTGAGTCTTGAGATATAACTATTTCTGTTTGATTATGATTATGAACATATGGTATGCCAGTCAAAATACTCATGCTAACAGGGTAGTGTTGGTCTTTATGCACATCATATATAAACCCTAGTTGGTCGGGGGAGCCACCAACATATGTGGACTGATCATCACATAGTATGGAGTCTCATGCTCATTGCATTTTGATTTTCTAACGAGCTTTACCTTATGATATTCTTGTTATGGCCAGGAACCTTACTATAAGAACCTAAAGTTAATTGTATATATATTTCTCATTGTTGTATTATCCCATGTGTGTGTATATTGAACATTATCTACTTACTGAGTTGTTGAACTTACACTCTTATTATTTATCATTTTCTTGATAGCATGTCACTTTTGTTGGACCTTCTGAACCTACTTTTTGGTTGAAATTTATAACTTGTTTTTATATCTAGTGCTCCAAAACTATAAAATTATATTAACTCTTGTATTAAGATAATTTGATTATACTATGAAATTAGTTTGTTGTTAATGTTGCGTTGAACTGTGATTGAGTTATTTAATAGATAAGTTTGTATGTAAATTTGAGTTCATGTAAGTATGGAATCTTGGAGGAGAATCTTGTCTATATGCCAGTTATGAATCTAGAAATCAGTTCGTGACAACAAGCATCTACAAATGATAGTTAACCAAGATTTCTCTTCTCTTTCACCATATCAATGAAGCTCGGTGACATACACTCGAACATAAAGCCATTTTGTAGCTCAGAATAAAGCATCCCGTTAGGGATACCCTGTGAGCATGCCGTTAGGGATACCCTGTGAAACTATCACCATCATCCCTACAGGAACAAGCTCTTTAGATCTTGCGTTCAAAAAGTTCTTTAAGTCCATGGCAAATTGAGATGCCTACGCATTTGCAACTTCTTTTGGTGCATTTGTGTAGTGAATTCTTCCTCTATTCCACAAAGGGGGATTCTTGTCGAACGCTTGTTCTGGCAGCTTAGACAGCCAATAATGGAGTGAAATAGAGCAGTGCACAAAGTGGAGAAAGGACTCAGGAAATAACTGATCGTAGAATGAACCTAGCACACCAGCTGCAAAGTATTGCCTTTCTTGTGGGAGATTGTTAAATAGGGTGTTAAAATCGTTAATTGGTTGATCATTGAAGAAAACTTGAAATTCTGGAATTTGGAGGTATGGAATTGCAATTCATACTTGTGCTTGATAGCTTCAAGCAATTTTTTTTTTTTTTTATAGCTTCAAGCAAATTTTGATCATGGAAAAGGTGTTTGGTCCTACCAAACATCCTAAATCTGCAAGACGAAATGTGTTTGAAGCAATTGGAAGATTCTTAAAGTCCAATTTCTTAGCAATCTCCTCATCAATTTCTTCTTTAACTACATTTGCGCTTCATCTCCGGAAAAAAAAATGTGCCAGGCTTTAAAAAGAAAATGAGATGTGAGGAAAGCCAATACATGAGTTAATCAGCAAATTAAGGCAATGCCTGCAAGTACGAGTTCTTGTAATAGCTTTAAGCGCCATCTCCACCAACCTTAGGAGGTGCGTTGTCTCCGGTTTTGACTTTTTTTTAATCCGTGCCAGTGTTTATAAATTTGCTGTGAAATTGTGCCTATATGCTCTGTATGTGAGAGAGTTTACCAACTAAAACAAAAATGTCAACATCGAAAATTGGTGATCTTTTGGAGATAGTTAAAATGACAAGTGAACTGTATCTGTATGCTGTCTGTGTGAGTTTATTAACCATCAAAGAATTATACAGCATATATGTGTTTTTTGGACATTGATGATGCAACTCCATGTTTTATAATAAGAATCCACTCAATAGAGTTATTTAAACTTATAACGACACTGTTTAAGGAATTGTAATTATCAACTGAGAAATGGTAATACAATTTAGTCTTTTTTTCACCCCTTCAGCATATAAAAGAGTGATTTATTAGGAGCTAGAACAGTCAGCAGTATGCACATGCGCACACTGCAAACCAACATGTCTAAAATGAAGCTGCAAGATCTCATTCCACGGGAAATTAATTATCTATTGCGGGTATGTACTCGAATTGATTCATAGAAACTCT